GATTGACCAAGATCAGCTCTGTGTTTCAAAAAAGAAAACTGGTAATGGTGCAGAACACAGTGAAAGACAAAAGAGGCAAGGAGACTAAAACAAGTTTGTATAATCATAACTATGGAAATCAAAACCAGTCCAGGACAACTGACTAATGGAACAAAATACAATACATGATTCTGTGGATATTTTAAGGACAAAAATGGACAGAATTCAAAATTCAAAAGCTAAATTAATAAACTAGACTTATAACAGGTATTTAAGTGGTCCTTGTAAAAAGAAAAACCACCTGATGTGTTATCACAAGGGAAATGTCTCAAGGGCCATTTAGAAGCTATTATCAGTGAATACTAATTAGCTTCTAAAACCATTTAAAGAAAATTACTTCATTACTATTTTATGCTTAATGTATGTTCTGAGAATTAAGAGATAACCTTAGCTCTGCCATAAATTCATTATGTGACCTTATGCAAGTTACGTAGAGCCTATTTGCTTATCTGTACCAAGAACATTTTATGGCTGATTCATGTCGATGTATGGCAGAAACCAATTTAACACTGTAAATCATCCTCCAATTAAAAATAAATAAGTTTTTAAAAGGAACATATTATGTGAAATCAGTGGTATTTTTCCTTTCTTAAACTTTTTTTGAAGGAGTCAAACTCCTTCGTCAGATGAAATCTCATCCAGCATTTATTTACAGTGTAAATCAGATAAAGGCATTCTGGGCTGCTGCCGGCAGAGTTTATGTAGTTGTAGAGTGATAGACATAGGACAGAGGATAACTGGTACCTTTTGCTGCCTGGTTCAGTAAAATTCAATTTACAATAATGGCCTAAGGCACACGGCAAATACAATTTTTATTTTATGCTCTATATAAACTTGTATATTAGGATGTAAATATATTCCTTGGGAGAACAAAATGAAAGCAACCAGAATTATTTTTAAAAGTATGTTCTCTTTCAAGAAAGGAATACTAGAAGTATGAGGGAACAGAGGGACCTTTAGGGAACCATGGGACGTGTCAGCATTGCCAGGAAGATTTTAAAAAACAAAAAAAATCTTCACTGGTTTTATACAATGAATACTACAAGGTAGTGGTCCTTCAGTTTTTAAAAAATTTATTGAAGGACAGTTGGTTTACAATGCTGCGTTAATTTCCACTGTACAGCAAAAATGATTCAGTTATACATATTGGGTTGGCCAAAAAGTTTGTTCAGTTTTTTCCATACACTGTAACTAAAAACCTGAATGAACTTTCTGGCCAACCCTATATGTATAGATATATTCTTTTCCGTTATGATTTATCACAGGATAATGAACACAGTTCCCCATGCTAAAGCAGGACTTTGTTGTTTATTCAGGTCCTTCACTTTTTATTTTTATGTCTCTTTATTTTTTGGATTTCTAAATATAAACATGAAACCATGATTACTTGAAAAAAAAAAAGTATACAATAGCTATCTGTAGAGTAAGATAATGGTCTTCATTTGGGTTTAAAAAAAAAAAAAACCCACTAAAAATAATACATATTTTTTTAAATCCTGGGTTCCATCCCAGACCTACCAATAAAATCTCTGGAAGTGGTCTTGGGTTATTCTGCAAAAGTGCCACAGCTCAAACTCATGCTGGCCTTTGATTAATAACCAGTGATCTAATACATTCCTTTAGGAACGAAAAAAAGAGCCTAAGAAAAGCAAGACTCACTTGCTCAAGATCACATAGCTAGATAAAAGTACTGAACATACTTTTTTTTTTTTTTTTTTGGCTGGCCTGAACAGCGTACGGGATCTTAGTTTCCCAACCAGGAATCACTTCCGTGCCCTTGCCCTGAAAGTGCAGAGTCTTAACCACTGGACCACTAGGGAAGTCCCCAGAAAATATATATGAAATGTGATCCACATTCAAACTGCCTATACTAAGTGGATTTTGTGGTAATTATCCAACCCATGTACTCGGAGAATTTGCCAACCTAGCCACAGACCTTGATAATCAGGGAAGATGGCATACCTAAGATTGACCAATGAGGTATACCTTATACGGCCTGGCTTAAAAGGTCAAACTGAGTCCACAGATTCTCCAGGGAAATCTTGACGTGCTTGTGGGTGGTAAACCTGAGAAAGCATGGCTGTGGTGAAACCAAATGCACACTCAATGAAAATGCAGACGAAGCCTGTCTGCAGAGAAAAGAAGGGAGCAGAGATGCCACGGAAGAGGGCAGAAGAAGGAAAAAGGAGTGATATCAGCCTCCAGTCCTGATTCCTTTACCATTCTGGTTCCTGCGAAGTACAGCTGTTCAGCAGTTCTGATTCTTAATTTCTTATAAGATACGTTCTTCTTACAACCTGTCTCTTTTTATCTTGAGCTAGATTGATGGGCTTTCTGTGTTATCTAGCTATTAGAGCTTTGATTGATTAAAACCAAGTCAGGGAATTCCCTGGCAGTCCAGTGGTTAGGACTTGGCTCTCTCAGTGCGGGGGCCCTGGGTTCAATCCCTGGTAAGGGAACTAAGATTCCACAAGTTCCATGGTGTGACTTAAACAAAAAGCTGCCAAGCCAAAGGACTCTGATCTCCAATATAAATAAAACTGGTTTTTAATGAAGTCAAAACTGATGGAAACCATGAACAAGGGCCTTGGGTTCTTATAGAACATGTAAAGGCATCAAAAATGTTGCATAATGCCTACACATATACAAATTATATTCTCATGTATTACCTAAAATACTAATCAAATGAAACGCTCATTTGGTCTTCATAACCCTATGAGATGAGTAAAGCAATAAGAAATTTAGCTAATAAGAAATTTCAGATACAAAGAAATTAAGTCATTTGCTCACAGTCACACAGCTACTACACAGCAGGATGGAAGCTTGACTCAGACCTTTTTTTTTAATTACAAATTACATGCTACTTTAATACCATACTGTTGCAGCATGAGGATAATGACAACAGTTATAGCCCCTCAAAACACATACATCCCATCATCCTTACAGTTCTTACAACCGAACACGTGGACATCTTTAAATAGATGAGTGTTTTCACATTGAGTGCTACTGACACTGTGAACAGAATAATTCTTTATTGAGGTGGGCTCTCCTATGCCTTGCAGGATATCTACCCAGCAGATGCCTGACACCTGTAACAACCAGAACTGTCTTCAGACACTGCCAAACGCTAGGGGCAAAACCACCTTCCCTTGAGTGCACATGCTTTCAATACTCTAGGTCTTTGCTGTCCTATGAAATCTGATCTCAAGTAAGAGGTCAGCTCAGTAGCACAACTAGTATGCTTATGTTATAGGTGAAAGAAAAAGCTCTACACTATAAACATCACAATGAAAAAAAAACTAAAGCTTTAAAACAAGACTATAAAAAAAAATTTACTGTGTTAGGTACAGACCTCTTTAAAGTTCAGCCAGGCACAGAGTTACAACCTCTTAAGCAAATCTGGCAGAAGGCTGATAGGATATTTTGACCTTTTAATACCATGTACTTGGCCCTCAACCTTAACTATGGTACACAATTATTTTAGAGGATGGAAGATTCAGAAACTTCTTGTATAGCTCTTAACAGACATATGAGTCACAAATACAAACCACATATATAATTTAAAATATTCTAGTAACTACATTTAAAAGTGAAAAGAAATAGGTGAAGTTAATTGTAGTAATTATTTTATCTAATATATCCAAAATATTATCATTTCAACATGTGGTCAATAGGAGACATTATTAAGAGATATTTTACATTCTTTTTTCATTAGAAGTCTTTGAAATCTGGTATTATTTTAGACTCACAGCACACGCCAGGTGTGACTAGCCACATTTCCCATGCTCAGCAGCAACAACATGCTCAAGTTAAAAAGTGTGGCCCTCACAACTACTGAGCCTGTGTGATGTGACTACTGAAGCCCAATCACCTAGAGCTTGTGCTCTGCAACAGAAGCAGCCACCACAATGAGAAGTCTGTGCACCACAACAGAGTAGGCCCCACTCACTGCAACTTGTGAAAGCCCAGGTGCAGCAATGAAGACCCGGAGCAACCAAAAATAAATAAGTACATTTTTTAAAAAGTGTGGCCCTGAAGCGATAACTTTAGGAATTAAATATGATAAAAAAAACTCTTGGAAGAATGAAAAAAAAACAAAAAACAAAAAAATCTGCTACGAGAGAACAGTCAACAAAACATTAGAACTACTAAGAACAAAAAGCAGCGCCATTAAAGCAAGAACATACGACAGTGATTATACAAACTCCAAGAACACCCACTCACACAAACACCTACCCTCAAGCAAACACAAAAACACAGAAATTCAAAACAGAATCTTGAATTTTGACTTGTAGGGCTTCCAAAATGCTTCTGTGATTCCTCTGTATTTAACTACAGTACTTGTGGAGGCACTGACGGCTGCTCTAGGTGATTAGCTTGGTAAGGGACAGCCAATGACTGGACCCAAGGTGAGCATCTGAATCACGGGCAGCCGACCCGGGGCCATCTGCAGCCCAGGAAGCTGTCTGGTAGAAGAGGTAGAAACAGCTTTGACCAGAAGGAACAATGATAATTAGCTAGGCTGGACCCTCTCTCTAGAAGCCTAAATGGCAAGTATTGAAGGAATCAATTATAAGCAAAAGAAACAAAAAGACATAACAACCAAAGTAACAAAGTTTAATCACAGTAAGGGTGAAGGCCCAGAAAAAGGATTTACAGACTGCCATGGATGGGGCAGACGTAAGACCACCTGGTCTCCAAAACTGCCTTGGACTCTAGAACACAGGCTTCATCTGGATTTCTGTGATATTTCTACCTCTTTAGTGCCACTTTCAACCAGAACATGAATTCTGAGACCTGAGGTAGCTGGAGAAAGCTGCTGCCGAAGGCACACTGTTTTTCTGAACTGGTAAAAATTTCTCTAAAGAGGTACTAAGTTCCCAATTCTTGCTTTCATCCTTAGAAGGGTCCAGAAATGCTGAGAGAAAGAGATTCAAATATAAAAAAGTAGCCTTACACACCTGCATTTTTTTCTCTTGCTCATTTTCTCCGATTATTCCGGAACCTGTTACACCTTCACTTCCATCAATGGACACCTATAAGAATAAAATAAAGTTAAAAACATTTTTACATATTGATAACTGTTTAGGCTGGGAGATAAGTACATGGGGATTCTTATTTATTTTTGCATATGATTGAAAATTTTCATGACAAAAAGTAGGGAGGACTTTTAAACTATATAAATGATATAATTTCAATGCAGGGAGAAATCACAGCCCTTCTAATGTAAAACTTAAGATGTTCCTTCACCTTTTCCAATCTCTAATGTCTACTTCATAATCCATAAGCAGTTCCCTCTATATACCTCATTGTTTCTTTTATGGCACTCATCCTTGAATTTTTTTTGTGTGTGAATTACCTGCTACCCATTTCCCTTCTATAAGCTCTTACTTCATTCCTTTATTTTTATTCAAATATTTCTTTCTACCCTTCCCTTCTTTAGGATAAATGCTGACCTTCTCTTTGATGCTGTCTCATTTTGACTTTGAGATTTCTAGTTTCTTTTTTTTTCTTTTAAAGAAAGATAAAGAAGCTGAAGCTCCAGTACTTTGGCCACCGGATATGAAGAGTCGACTTACTGGAAAAGATCCTGATGCTGGGAAAAACTGAGGGCAGGAGGAGAAGGGGGCAACAGAGGATGAAATGGTTGGATGGCATCACCGACTCAATGGATGTGAGTTTGAGCAAACTCCAGGAGATGGGGAAGGACAGCGAAGCCTGATGTGCTGCAGTCCATGGGGTTGCAAAGAGTTGGACATGACTCAGTGACTGAACAACAACAAAAGCAGCTCTACCTGGGATGTTCTTGACACTGTAAAATGCTATACCTTTGCTGCGTACTGTTCCAAAGCACTGATGGTGTCGGGGTCAATGGCGGCATCCCCCGTGTGCAGACCTGCCACTGTCCCATCAGCTTGAATTGCCAGGATGGTGTCAGACTGTGGGACTTGCACTGCATGGTGGATATAAGCTGTGGTGCCATCTTCCAACTGAACTGCCTGTAATGCACTCTGGTCATAACTATCTGAGGGAGTGGAAGAGAATGGCATTAAATTAAAGGTAGTGTGATAAACAATTACATGTTTAAAGGAAGCAGGGAATGAAGTTTTATTGAGCAGCTACTATGAGCAGGGCCCATGTGCTTTATGTGTGTATTTCACTCAATCTTCACAATTATTCTCTGAGGTGGGTACACTTATCAGCCTATTGTACAAATGGCAAACTGAGGCTTGAAGAAGTAAAGATACTTTCTTAAGACCCAGGAAATAAAAAACTAACAATTAACAGTCAAAAGCATTATGCAGAGAAACTAGGATCTGAACTCATGCCAATATGACTCCATGTTTTTTTCCCTCTAAATAACCATACCAAGATGCACACAGCATTGTTAAATAATAAATCTAGCCAATTACAGTGAACCTGTGATCAATTTCCAGTGCTAAAGAAAAAAAAAGTTAGAGTTTACTTTTCCTCAACTTTAATAAATTTACTTACAAATTAAAATATTCTAAATTTTTAAAAGTTTCTTTGTTTTCACAACTAAACAGTTTTTTAAAACATTTACAATCATTCTATAATAAAATATTTTATAAAATAATAATAACTAATTTATTGAGCATTTACTTGGTGACAAACATTGTTCCAAGTGCTTTAGATGTTTGTATATTCTGTCTTTACAACTACCCCATGATGAGGATGTATATTATAATCTTCATTTCAGATGATGAAACTGAAGCACAAGAAGGGTAAATAACTTGCTCAAGGGCACACAGCTAAAAGACAACAGATCCAGACTGGAACCCAGATGGTCTGACTGCAGAGCTGTGCTCATTGCTCCTATGCATTTCACCTCAATCCCCTGACCTTCCCTACACAAAGTTAATACGCATGAACATTTTGCCATATTTATTTTAGATAGTTTTAAAATTTTTATTTAGTTTTAAGGACCAACCCAAGGGGCAAAGGACCTTGCTAAAGACAGTACCTTTAAAAGGAAAAAAAATCCAAAATTTAACTTTCAAATGTTTTAATTTCATGTTTTAAAAGCAGCCTCTATTTGAAGTCTTTCCAGGAATCAGGGTTTTGCTAGTCCAAACTGCTACTGGACAACTCAAATCATTAAGAGAGTTTGATCAGACTGTGCCAAAATCTGCCATCTTATATTTGAGAGAAGAATTCTTCTTTTACATAACACCATTTCAGCAACTGAATAAAGGTCTTATTTTTCCCACACCCCACTTCTCCCTTGTTTTATTCAAATGTTCAGAGCTAATTTACCTTTGGAGGTATGGTGAATAAATGCTGTAGTTCCATCTTCTAACTGCACTGCTTGCCCATCCTCTAAACGCAAACTGTCCCCTGCTCAAAAACAATGCTTACATTTAGATCCCATGTTATCCAAACATATTCTGATAATTCAGCAGCAAGAGAGTCAATAAACCATTAAACACATCATACAAACCTACGCTTGCTTTAAGGATCCTTGAATATAAATAATTTCGCAAAGCTGCTCTGAATAAGTGTTTAAAGGTAAAAAGATATTTATAATACCTGAGGAATATATACCAGGGGATAAGGAGAATTGAAAGAAGGGAAAAGAAAGAAGAAAATAAGAAGACATGTAGGATTTAGCTCATCTAATAGAAATATTCATTTAAAACTGTTGCCTATTTATCTCCAGAGTACAGTCTAGTAACTTCTTTTATATTATGTCTCAGAGAAAGTCTCAAGTTAAAATAGTCTTTAGATCCTCTCTTTGACATCTCCCCATCTCTCCTTTCAGAAGGAGGACTAGAGATCATGACCAAGTTGAAGTACTAAGAGGCAGCTGGAGGCAGAAAACACTGAAGTATGAGAATCAGGAAGGTGAGTATCAAATACTTACTAGTTTTAGGTATGGGTACATGTTGAACATAGGCAGCAGAACCATCCTCCAACTGAATGACCTGACCATCTATGAGTTTTCCATCTAGAAACAAAACATTTAAGCCAATAAATTAGCACAAGCAAAAAATTTAAACTTCATACAATTTCAAAATGATATCAACTATAAAAACATACACTACTTAAGATCATGTTCATCTTGCTTCTTCCCTCAATGTTCTGAGGCAATTCAATAACACATCCAGTGATCCTACAGAAAGCAGAAAATCCTCCCTCAGCCATCCTTCCTCCCCTCCAATTTTCAATTAGTTTCAATTTTCAATTAGAGGAAGAATGGCTCATGATAGCAAGCTACATGAGTCACACCTCCATATACCTTTCAGAGGCACTTAGGAATAGGGACCCTGACCACAGCAAAGCTACAACTGGGAAGACAGAAAGACATATCAGTGCATGAGAGGTTAGCTGTCATTCTTATCCTTGGGGGCTACAAGTCCCTTGATTATGAATACATATGCTCAGTAGGTTTCCATAAAAACAAGAAATTTAAGAACTAGGCTATCTCTTGGAGCAAAGTAAACACTGATTTAGAAACAATGTAACAAAAGCAAAACCAAATGTCTTTTTATGCATATTTTGTAAAAACATTAAATAATAATTTAAAGTGATAAAGGTCTTACTGATAATAGGTCAAGGACACTAACCCCCTCTCCCTTTCCTCACTAATTCTGATAGCCTAGAGTATTTTCCAAATATCTCAAAAGGTTTCCTCAAATTATCAAAACAAAATTTAAGTTAAACTGAAATGACTTAAAATTACCACATGCAATATACAGTATCTTTAGGAGGGGTTAGGAAAAAGTTATAATTGCTAGGTATTCCAACTCTGAGGTTATGAAGTGCTGGTAATAACCAATGGGCTGTATATGAAGCACATACCTTTAGAATTGTGCTGTATATAAGCAGTAGAACCATCTGCAAGCGTTACTGCTTGCAGGCTTACACCTTCCATGTTTTCTAAATTGTCACCATCTATTACAAAACAAAAGGTATTTTCTTTAGATAACTATCATATGTGCATGCTGTTTAAGTTTTTAAGTAAAAATTAATCAAAAGGCAGACTGCTTAACTTAGACTCAAATGGACTTTCTTATAGCATTTACAAAAAAAATATTTCCATGCCCTACTGTACCCAGCATCCACACCAAGGTAAAAATGCTCATAAAAAGGCTTAGCTTTGTGTTGCCTTTAGCTAAGAGAGGAGGAACAAAGTAATTACATTTTTTCCATTTTCCCTTAAGATAAATATTTCCAAACCCACAGGGTCCCTTCAAACAAAGCTGCTCACCTGCCACAGTAACTGCCTCTGTCAGGCACAGGGTAACATGCTGAGCCTCCATTCCTCCTCCAGGAAACTCTGTCATTCCCTGAGAATCTCGATTTATCTGGGCTAACAACATTTTCTACCTTGAAGAGAAATGCAGGCATTGAGAACAAAAAACAATGTATTCACAAAATAAAATCTACAGAGTATTTATGAACTACAAAAAACTGCTAAGGAAGTTATAGAGTGTTTTGAAATAAGCTGAAATTTCACTTAATATGCAGGGTAAGAGTATTATTAGCCCAAAGTCCAGAGCATGCTTTTAATAATCCATCAGAAAATTACTGAGCATACTGACAAGTCTTGCCCATCAGTTCTGTACCATGTCTAAAACTCCTGTAATTAGCATTCTTTGGGTTTAACATAGTTGAATATTCCCACTTAGAATCCATGAATGTACTGAGTCCATTCTGTGGACAATCTTCAGAAATCTATCCTGAATCTGGCCACTTCTCACAAGCTTCACCTCCCTGATCCAAGCCACTACCATCTCTCACCCTGAGATGTTACTGCAACAGCATCGTAATTGGTCTTCCTGCTTCTACTGTGACCTCCTTCACAGTCTCCTATCAACACAGCAATCAGACTGCCCTTTTTGAAGGGAAAAGTTAGATCTTGTCTTGCTTCTCAAAACTCTTTGATGATATGTCATCAAAGTAAAGCCAAAAGTCCTTATGCTAGCCTGTGAGGCCAATGATCTCGCCCCCATTTTCTACTGCTCTACATCTCATTCATTCCATTTCGGCAACATCGGTGCCCTTGCTTTCCCTCTAACATAATGGATGCTCCGCTGCCTCAGGACCTTTACATTTGATGTTCCTTCTGCTTGAAACAGTCTTCCTGGTATCTTCATTATTACTCTCTCGTCTTCTTCCAGTCTTTGTTCAGTGGCACCTCAATGAGAGCTTCCTTATTTACCTCACTGCAAACTGTATCACCAACCCTCGATGATGATACACTATCCTTCTTCCTTCCTTTATACTTCAGCACAGTACTAATAAATTGACATTACATGTATTTACTTATTTTGTTTGTTTCTTATCTATTTCTCCCTCTACTAGAATGGACAGGGATTTTTATCTGCTCTCTGCTGACTAAAGTGCCTACAAAGTACCTGGCACATAGTACACAATAGGTGCTGAATAAATGGATGCATGAATGGCTCTTTAACCAATCTTCACCATAACCCCCTGCCTCCCTTTTCCCACCTCCAGGTCCCATAACTTCTGTGGGCCTTGAGTTGTCTCTAACAGAAGTTGTGATAATTTAGCTGCCTTAAGCCAGGGAACTGGACAACAGCATCTCTTGAGGACTTTTTCAGGTCTAAAGATCTAATTTCAGCTGTCAATATTTAAAAGGGAAATATACAGATATTAGTAACATTTTACAATTGTTTAGGACTAGAAGATTTTCATTTTATAAACACTATAAACTGCACCTTCTTTGGATTAAAGCCAAGGACTATGGTTTAGATTCACAGAAAGCCAGTCAAGAATTGACTTCTCAGGGATTCCTGAAATACTTATAATCTATATCTGTTTATAGAGTGTATGGAAACTTCAATTATTTCCTTGCTACTTCTAAGGACTAGCAAAGAAGCCTCAAAATAATAATGGTACTCTGCTATTAAGCTCCCTGATGAGTTTAAGATTGGGACAGGCTCATTTTCAGAACAAGTACTGTCACCATACAACAGAAATAAGACAAGGAAATGGAAGGGAAAGCACCTATAAAAAGGTAGTAAGTACTGCATGATTTTTACAGTATACATCTAGATAGTGAATTTTGAAAAAGGCAGATTACAAGTTAATTTGGGTCATGATACTAAAAAATGTCCATTTGACCATAACTCAAGCATTTGTCCTTTTCATTCAATTATATATAAATCTCCAAATAACTACATCAACAGGTAACGGATAAAGTTCTTTCTTGTCTGAAAGCTGGTCAAGTGTTAAATTTCCTTAGGAAGGCTTCAGCACCTGTAGTTTCTATCCTAATTGAAAAAAAATCTACATTAACTCAAAGATGAAGAGTCAGCTGATTCCTGGACACAAATTTCTGGCAAATACACTTGGTGGTAAAGGATTCAGAAGAGATCAAATGTGTCCTACCACTGCCAGAGATAATAAGTGATGTCAGGTCACAGCCCATCTTATTCTCAAAAAGATTCCGTGATACAACTAATGCCCTTTGTTAGAAAATGATCAAGTGGGGGAAAATATGATAGTGAATAAATGAAATGAGCTAGAGTTAAAACACTCTATAGTTACTCACACCATATTCACATTCATGTCATGATTGTGCATCAACATTTTCAGATAGTGTGTAAATAAGCATGTGAGAGGGGCTTCCCAGGTGGCTTGGTGGTAAAGAACCCACTTACCAACGCAGGAGACGCGGGCTTGATCCCTAGGTTGGGAAGATCCCCTGGGGAAGAAAATGGCAACCCACTCCAGTACTCCTGCCCAGGAGACCCCATGGACAGAGGAGCCCTGGCGGGGCTGCAGAGAGTTGGGCACAGCTGAGCACGCACAAGCATGTGAGATACACACGCATCTCCAGAAAGGGCCACCTTGAGAAAGGTAGTCAATTTCGTGTGCTTTAATAATGAATCGTGGACCAAAATCAGACACAGGGAGGCTGTGGTGGGGCACAATAGGAATCTCAAAGGAAGACATACGTAAAGTAATAAGTTCCTGCCTTTCTGGAAGATGCTGATGAATATTAACATAAGAAAAGAGAAAAAAAAACACATTTATGAAGTGCAGCACATGTTATATCCAGAATAAAGCATTCCTACAACTCAACATCAAAAAACAATAACCCAAATTGGACAAAGGACTTAATAGAAATTTCTTCAAAGAAGATAAATGGCCAACAAAGATGAAAATATGCTCAATATCACTAATCATTGAGGAAAGGCAAATCAAAACCGTGATTAAATATCACCTCACACCTGTAAGAATGTCCACTACCAAAACACAAGATAAGTGTTGGCAAGGACATGAAGAAATTAGAACCTTTGTGCACTGTTGGTGGCAATGTAGAATGGTGCATGCATGAATGCTCAGTCGTGCACTTATCATTAACACTTATCACAGTATACTCTAATTACCTGTTTTTCTCCAAAGCAGAAGCAGTGTGTTTATAGTATGTGCACATGCACTCAGTCTCGTCAGCTGTGTCCGACTCTTTGTGACCCCGACTGTAGCCTGCCAGGCTCCTTTGTCCATGGGTTTCTCCATGCAAGAATATTGGGGTAGACTGCCATTTCTTACTCCAGGGGATCTTCCCGACCCAGGAATCAAACCCAAGTTTCTGGCATCACCTGCACTGGCAGGCAGATTCTTTACTACTGTTGCTGCTGTTGCTGAGTCGCTTGTCGTGTCTGAGTCTGTGTGACCCCACAGACAGCATCCCACCAGGCTCCCCCGTCCCTGGGATTCTCCAGGCAAGAACACTGGAGTGGGTTGCCGTTTCTTTACTACTAGCAGTTGCTATTAAAAACAGTATGGAGGAAAAAAAAAAAAAACAACAGTACAGAGGAAATTCCCTAGCAGTCCAGTGGTTGGGATACTTCACTTTCACTGCCAAAGGCACAGGTTCAATCCCTGGTCAGGGAAATAAGATTACCACTCCACAAAAAATAATAATAATAAAAAAGATAAAAACAACAACAACAAAAAAACACTGTTACTCCACAAGCTGAGTGGCACAGCCAAATAAATTAAAACAAAATAAAAACAGTATGGAGAGTCCTCAAAAAATTACAAATAGAATTTTACCATATGATCAAGCAATCCCACTTCTGGGCATATATCCAAAGGGATTAAAAACAGACTCTCAGGAACTTCTCTGGTGGTACAGTTGTTAGGAATCTGTCTGTCAATGCATGGGACAAGGGTTTGATCTCTGGTCTGGGAAGATTCCACATGTGGTGGACCAACTAAGCAAGTGCACCACAACTGCTGAGCCTGTGCTCTGGAGCCCGGGAGCCACAACTGCTGAAGCCCAAGCACCCTGGAGCCCACGCTCCACAAGAGAGGACACCACAACGAGAAGCCACACAATGCAACTAGAGAGCAGCCCCCATTCATTGCAACTAGAGAAAAGCCCTCATAACCATGAAGATCCAGTACAACCAAAAATAAAAAAAGATAATCATGCTTCCCACATTAAAGAAAATTAGTAATTAAATACTTGCTGATTTCATCCCCTAAAAAAAAAAAAAAGAATCAGGGTTTTCTCAGTGGTTTGAGTCTACATCAGACCAATATTTTAAAATGTGAAGCCCTCAGCAATCAGAGCAGAAAAAGAAGTAAAAGGAATCCAGATAGGAAAAGAAGAAGTGAAACTCTCACTGTCTGCAGATGACATGATCCTCTACATAGAAAACCCTAAAGACTCTACCAGAAAATTACTAGAGCTAATCAACGAATATAGTAAAGTGGCAGGATATAAAATTAACACACAGAAATCCCTTGCATTCCTATACACTAACAATGAGAAAACAGAAAGAGAAATTAAGGAAACAATACCATTCACCATTGCAACAAAAAGAATAAAATACTTAGGAGTATATCTACCTAAAGAAACAAAAGACCTATACATAGAAAACTATAAAACACTGATGAAAGAAATCAAAGAGGAAACAAACAGATGGAGAAACATACTGTGTTCATGGACTGGAAGAATCAATATTGTCAAAATGGCTATACTACCCAAAGCAATCTATAGATTCAATGCAATCCCTATCAAGCTACCAACGGTATTTTTCACAGAACTAGAACAAATAATTTCACAATTTGTGTGGAAATACAAAAAACCTCGAATAGCCAAAGTTATCTTGAGAAAGAAGAATGGAACTGGAGGAATCAACCTGCCTGACTTCAGACTCTACTACAAAGCCACAGTCATCAAGACAGTATGGTACTGGCACAAAGACAGAAATATAGATCAATGGAACAGAATAGAAAGCCCAGAGATAAATCCACGAACCTATGGACACCTTATCTTCGACAAAGGAGGCAAAGATATACAATGGAAAAAAGACAACCTCTTTAACAAGTGGTGCTGGGA